ATATATATATATATATATATATATATATATATATATATATATATATATATATATATATATATATATATATATATATATTTATGTATGTAGTGCTCGAAGTGAAGAAAAAAAAAAGGAACGGGATGGTATACGGTAAAATAAAAATACCATTCCGCCTAATCATTGTTATATATAGAGATTTTAAAAAGGTAGTGGGATGTTTTATACTTCACAAAAAGGTGACAGGATGGCATCCTGCCGCATTTTTTTTTGATTTAGCAGAATTTTTTCAATATTTAATTTTTGAAAAATAAATATAAAATTAATTTATAATCATACCATTATTTTACTTGAAAAATACGTTGCTTTTACATCGAAATCACAACGTTAATTAACATAAAAAAATCTAACGTTACAACGTTTGAAAGTCTAACATTATCAATCCTGTCCATTTCTAACGTTAATACAACGTTAATACACCCTAACAACCCATAACAACGTTATTTAATGTTGTTTCAACGTTAGTATGCCAACTGGGTACGTTTTATATAATGATCATTATAACATTGCTATTTGTTGACAAGAGTCACAGGTTGTATTTTTAAATGTTATATACCGTGAACAATTTAACAAAAGATTTAAAAAGATGTTTAAAATTAATAAACAAATGTTATTAAAAAAATGGTGGCTTTTAAATGCCTTGAATAACAAACATAACAATTGAAGAACGAACATAACAATTGAAGAAGGAACATAACAATTGAAGAACGAACATAACAATTGAAGAACGAACATAACAATTGAACAACAAACATAACAATTCTCTAAAGTTCAATTATTAATAAAAGAAAAGAAACATTATCTTTTATAATTTAAAGATAGCATTATTGTTGACATTTTATAATAATTTGATTTAGTTCTAATATATATAAAATGTTGAGAATATTTTGCAACATTTTTTGTTATTAAAAAATAAAATCAAGTTCCTGAATTTTTTCAATTATCCATTTAAAGTAAATATTGTTAAAATGTGCACAAAATTATTTAAAACATATATATATATATATATATATATATATATATATATATATATATATATATATATATATATATATATATATATATATATATATATATATATATATATATATATATATATATATATATATATATATATATATATATATATATATATATATTATATATATTTTAATCCTAAATGTCCTAAGTACGCCTAATTAACCCTATTATAAGGTAGTAGATAAGTGGGGTCTTGAGGGGTCATAGCTGATTCTCACAAGTAGATTTCACTTTTAATGTTTAATAAAATCTTGTCTTGCTTATGTTATGGTGCTAGGTAGTTCTAAACATTTTTTGAGACAATTTAATGTATGTATTACATGCAGTACAATTATATGTAGCACGTGACGTTGCAAAGTATATATTAAATAACAAGTTTATCATTGAAAAAATTGTTGTTCAACAACATTTTTTAACTCTCTTTTTAACTTTAACATTTTCGAAATTATTTGAGCAATTAAACTGCTTTTACAATATACGAGCATTTATTCGATATGAAAATTTTGTTCTGTGAGAGTATTTTTATTACACGTATGAAACAGTAAAACTATTATACAGTGTAATCATTCTTCAGGTAAATATTATTTATTTTTAAAAAAATAATTGGTTTATGCAAGAACTCTAACGATTTAATCAATTTTTAACTCTCTGTTAAATAATATTAATTTAGTGTTAAATAATATATCAAATTTATTAAAGTTGTAATTATCTGCGTTTGTTTTCAGACAATTAAACTATTGTATAATAACTTTTAAATTGAAAACCGATAAATCGTCATGTTGAATATTTCTAATTTCTGAATGTAATCTTGAAATAGTTCTAAGACAACTCGATGGTTTAGGTATTCAATTTAGTTTTGCACACGATGGAAGGTCACAAAGTCTCTTTTTGCCATTAAATTTTTTTGAAATGTTCTAACTGGGCAGTGTCTTTCACAAACAAAAGTATCTTTTTTATCTAGAATATTGTCTCTTTCTATGATTGAACACTTTTTTTCTTTCTTTTGGTATTTGAAAATAAAGACAAAGTTTTTAGAAAAGTTAAAAAAAAAAATTAATTCGTAATAAAAACATGGTTCGTATTTACGAACCATGTTTATTACAAATTTACGAACCATGTATAGTTACAAACCATGTTTATTACAAATTTAGTTAAAAACTTTGACTTAAAAGTTAAGCAATATGTTTGACATTTGTTTCAAGTTTTTGACGTCATCAGCACGTTGATTAGGCCTTTTATAAAATTATAAAATCATAAAATACACCATGTTTTAAGTCAATATTTATGCTTGCATTGAAATCATAAGGGATATTTACTTTTAATCCGTCTTTCTTGTACATCTCTTTTTTTAGTTTAATGAGAAAAAAACAAAAATTTTTTGTTGTCTTGCTATTATATTATTCATTTTAAATTCCATTTGCAAAATAAACATGGCGCACGGCGCACAGTGCCTCAGAAACCTTAAACATGGCGCACGGCGCACAATGCCTTACAAACCTTAAAAAGTAGACAAAAATACATTTAACAAAAAGTAATAATATATATTATTATTATATAAAATTTATTTTATAAATATTTTAATCTTAAGATTAAAATTTTTTAAATATATTTTCTAAAATATTAGAGTTATCGTTTTGATTTTATTTGAAAAATTATGAATTTTGCTCTTAGATAACTTTTTTTCCGGCAATAAACTTAATAAATTAAAAGCGAACTTTGGGTATGAATTGGAAAAAAAAAAGAGGGAAACAACTCATTCATTTTATTTTATCTCTTAAAAAATGGAAAATGTTTTTAAAACAGATAAATTATTAAAAAAAATCGTTTTAAAACTAGAAAATAATATTTTTTAGTAGATTTTAGAAAGAATTTAAAATTTATATTTACAAAAAGTTAAAAAATATGTTCCATTCTAATTTTTTTATTAACATCTCATCAATATAATAGAAAAATAATATGCAAAATTTTAGCAGCACATTTTTTGATTTTATTTAGTAAGATTTAAAAGTGTGTTATGGATCTTAAAGTAATTAGTAATTTGTATTAACTTAAAATCAATATCATATAATATACTTTCTACCTTGAAAAAAAGTTCTATAGAATTTCTCTAAACTTTTGAAACATATAACCTATAGAAATTCTTTAGAATTCTATAAAACTTCGATATAATCTTTATTAATTTATTAAGAACTTAACAGAGATTGTATAAAAATTCTATAGAAATCTATAGAATATCTATAGGCCATATGTTTCAAAAGTTTATAAAAAGTCTATAGAACTTTTTTTCCTAGGTAATTTAAGACAACTAGATTTTGTAATTGCGTTTATTGGGGAGTTGGTATTTCTTTTGAAATAACTGTTACATGTTACATGTAACAGTTAAGACCTACGTTTGATTATTATCCTATTGAATATAAATCTTGAGCTAGAAATATAAAGTAAACAGAAAGTAAAAAAACAGTTTTGCAATGACACTGCAAATTTGATAGTAGAGAAGTATTCCTGGTATATAATACCTTCAGCTGTACACAAACTTCTGAAACATGGGACTCTGATTTAAGAAACATTGGAACTGCCTAACGGATTTGATTCAGAAGAGTCATATGAAGTCTTAAACAAAGAAATTCGCGAAGCTCGACTAAATCACAATGCAAAAATTTTATTAGTTAATTGGATGAGAAATCAGTTCGACCACCTCCTAATTAGGTCGGACTCTATAGTATCCTCTATGAGCTTCAAGAATAACTAGATAGAAAATGGCGAACATGTAGCAACTGATGTTCTTGCGTTGCATGTTACAAATTAATTGACAAATATCATTAAAGCAAGACATTTTTGAATATTTAATTTATGCATATTAGCAACTCTCATTTAATTCTTCTCAAAATTGAACTCTATTTTAAAAACAGGTAAACCATTAAACATCTGCAGTCAAATTTCCTGTCTAAAAATAAAAAATTCACTGATTTTTCTAAAATCATCATTCACAAAAACTCAGTTTATTATATCAGTGGCCATTTTTATGACTTTTTCAACCTAATATAATTTTTTTTAATCGACCTAATAAATAGTGAGTTTTTTTTAAATTTATAAAGAAAATGTTTTTTTTATTTATAATTTTTTTTTCTTTAGATTTGGAATTCTTTACAATCCTTCACCAAAATTAGCCCCCTTTGATCTTAAAAATTAAAAAAAAAAAAATTGATACAACCCACCCTTAAATGTTTCATCCAGTAAAATGCCAATTAAGGTGATCAAATTTAATTTATAACTCCAAAAATGAATTCCTGGACCCAGAAAAACCCTAAAATCATGTTAAATATTATGCTTTATTTATAAATAAATAATTTTAGCACCTTTTTAAGGTTTCTAAGGCACTGTGCAGCGTTGGCAAGCTTTACTATGACAACTCTAACATTATTTACCTTACTAACATTATTTACCCTAACTTATTGTGAACATTAGTAATAATAACAACTTTTTGACAGTTAAAAACAAAAGTGAAAATGATTTTAAACACGGTAAACAAACCATTAAAGCCGACCTTGAATTTTCTTTTTTAATTTATTATTTGTAGTACTTGTAACTATTTTTGCATATTAAATTGGCATACTCAAAAAAATAAATAACTAAATAATTATGATAATAAATAAATGAATATATATATATATATATATATATATATATATATATATATATATATATATATATATATATATATATATATATATATATATATATATATATATGAAAAATTTCATATATATATATATATATATATATATATATATATATATATATATATATATATATATATATATATATATATATATATATATATATGAAAATACACAGGCAGAGCAAATATTAATATATGTATACATATTAATTTTGCATAATTAATTATAACTTTGCATAAATAATTATAACTTTATCTTTAGAAACCACGACTTCGTAACGGGATTTGCTGTTTCATACCAGGAATTTCCTTTTTTGGCGAAGCAAATTAACAGAATATAAACTAAATTTTACAACAACAGTTTCAGAATAATTATAATATTAAAAATTTAAAAAAGTTTAATGTTTTATTTATGAATAGTAATTCTTTCTATTTCAATAATTTAATTAATTACAATAGTTCTTAAAAATGTTGTTCTTTCTACGAAATGTTTTTAAGTAGTGAGTTTACTTCATCTCGATTAACTTTTATCAATAAATTTAACGCCTCTGAACACACAAAGATTCGAGCTTCCTTCCAGTTTGAATTCCAGTTGTTCATTTTTTATAATCTTTACAAAAATAAAGGAAAAAAAAAAGCTTTTTCAAAAACAAAAAAATTTAAAAAGAAAATTTTTTTAAATTTATTTTCAACAATTATTTATATATATAAGGTGCTCATATTAGGGTAATATGAGCACCTTGGTAATATGAGCATACTTAAAGATTTCTTAGATGTAAGCAGTAAAGTTAAAGTGATTTGTATTTTTTAAATCAATTTCATGTGGTGATTACATGAATTAGTACAACTAGCGTAATTAGTAAGCAATGCATAGAAACATTTTTGTTTTTAATTAAAAGCAATGCAATTAAAATTTTTCTGTAATTTAAAATCAAATAATTTAAATTTTTATCGTTCAAAGGTTTGAGTTAATAAAATTGAAAAAATAACAGGCTAATTTTTCGATTGTTTTTGTTTTGCGGAGCATTGTTTCAACAAAAAGTGGATTAAAATTTGATCTTTTAATGATAAGTTACTCCTTAAGTTGACAAAAGTGCCTCTAAATTTAGAAAAGTATTTTGTTTTTTTAAATTTTGAGGCCCTTTTGTCAATTTAAGAGAATAAAAAAAAAAGAGAATTTAAAAAAAAAAGAAAAGGTTTTTAAAAAAGTTTTAAAAATTTTTTAAGAAAAATAAATAAAATAAAATTGAGGAGAGTCAAGAAAAGAAAAAGTAAAAAACAAAAAACATTAACAAAAAATTGAAAACAAAATCAAAATAAAAACGAAGAGAAAAAAAAGAGAAAAGAATCGAAAATGGAAAATAGTTAAATGAACTGAAATAAAATATGAAAATCGCTCCGCTTTAGAAGAAAAATTTTTAATTTTTGTGCATTGTGCATAGCAAACTGCCGTGTAATTTTGTGCATTATTTTTATTATAATGTATTCGCCTTTTTTTTTTTTAGTCTGTTTAATATCGATCGGACATTTTTAACGTTGATCAGACAAGTTGTATATATTTTTTAACTGTATATCTATATACAAATGTATACATTTGTATATGAAGGTATGAAAGCGCGTATGTGTATTTCCGTATGAAGGCCGTACCAAGCTAACTTTTTCGCTTCGGGCAAACAAGAAAAATGCGCCTTACCTACCTTTTTTCCTCTCAGAAAAAAAACTTAAAAAAATAAAAAATGATTTATTGATCACAAATATTATCACATCAAGTGTAAAGTACAATTTGTCATGAATATTGCACAAACTTCAGTTCAAGTTTATGCAATATACATGACAATTCCCAATGATTATCTGAATTTAAGCCATTAATTTGAGCTGTTTAAAAATTTTTATCTGTTGAATTGTCATTAATTTCAACGCAAATATCATTTTAAATAATTTGTTTTTCCACTGCAAAATTTATTACTAACCACTTCTTAAAACAACTTTATAACTTCTGATCACTATCCAGGGGCTGTTTTCTTTTCTTTTTTAAATTCTACGCCAGATAATTTTTTGGTGCAATTCATTATTGAATCATAATGTTTACTATGTTTTAGCTAAGTTATTCTAAACTAATAATTTGTTCTTTGCAATCTAGAAATTAATGCTTGTACAGCTTTTTTTTAACCATTTTTTTTTTTAATGATTTTGTAAAAATATTTTCCTTTTTTTTTTTTTTTTACAATTCAGTAAATTTACACATCGTTACGTTATAACTACATGACATAATATAATCAGTGGCGGATTAAGACTTCTTAGGGCTTTTTGTTTTTGGAGGCCTTTTTATGGGCAAGAGCCTAAAAATGACTAAAAAAAAAAAAGGAAAATATTTTTACAAAATCATTAAATTTGTTGTTGCTTCAGATATATACATGCTGTTGTAAAAGGAAAACTCGTAGAAGTCTAAGAAGGCTTATCATCGAGTACCTTTTTAAATGGTTAAATAAAGTCTACTTCATTTTTATATATAGTCAAAAGTGATTAAACAATATACAGTCAATGATACACGTAAATATTTTAGTGTAATTTTTAATTTTAATGTTAAGTTTAATACATGTCGATATAATTGTTGACACTTTCTTTCTTTAAAGATTTTATTCAAAGCATGAGCAACATCAACTCCTGTTTTACTCTTTAATGGAACAATCCATTCATACTTTGAAAGTACATCTATCCCCATCAATAAGTATTTTATGTCATCATTGAATTTAAAAAAAGCTTGCATGTCAACTAAATCAGTAGCCCATATGTCATCGGTTCCATTTATAAATATTTTTCTTTTTCTGAAATGTTTTAATGAAACTTTGCCCATGGTAATTTTATTTTACTTGTTACTGAGTTTAGTGAATTGACTAAATTACCTCCTTTTTTTTGCTACTACAGATCTTTTTGCTGATCCTGTTGTAAATTGAGTTTTAGTTGTACCACAAATAGCACAAGTTCCACGTAGCATATTTCTATTGTTTTTACTCACAACATTTTGTAAGTTTAGTGTATTTGTTTTGTTTCTAGATTTAATAGAGTACATTTTTATAACTATTTTTATTTTTTTATTAAATTTTGATTAAAAAAAATTCTTTATTTAAAAAAATGGAAGTAGTAGATTTATCATATAGAAATGTAAATGTAAATAAAAATAATTGTAATAATAATGAGTTATTACCAAGAAGTATAAGAGGTCTTATTGTAGGAAAGTCAGGTTGTGGAAAGACAAATCTATTATCAAATTTACTTATAAGACCTGGGTAGTTAGACTATAATCATTTACAAGTTTTTGGGAAATCTCTATTTCAAAAAGAATATAAAATAATAGAAAGATGTTTTAAAGAAAAATTACAAAAAGAAGTGATTTTTAATATATTTTTGATGCAAGATGATATTGAAAAAGAAAATGCAATGAAAGAATATTTAATTAATGATGTTTTAAAAAAATAAATAAAAGAAAAAACAGATATGGTCAGTTTTTTTGAAACAGCAGATGATGTCCCAGAACCTGAAAGATCTTGATCTTAAAAAAATAATTTAATGATATTTGATGATTTACAATTGACAAAGCAAAACAAGTGTAAAAAATACTATATAAGAGGAAGACATAGTAATTTTGATTGTTTCTAGTAGGCACATAATTATTTTATGCTACCTAGAAGAACGATAAAAGAAAATGCAAACTTTATATGTTTGTTTAAACGAGATTCAAAAAATGTAAATCATATTTATAATGATCATGTTTCAAATAATACGTCGAAAGAGGAGTTTTTGTAAAGAAGAAATTTTTTTTGAGAGAAATTTTTGTAAAACAGTTTGGTCAAAGCCGCATAAATTTGTTGTTATAGATTTGTCACCGAATGTGGAGAATAAAAAATATAGAAGTGGTTTTGATTGTTTTTATTTTCCTTTATCTGTGCATCATCTTTAGTGGTACATCAGATATAAATATTAAAAAACAAAGTTGTTTATGCCACATCATAAATGACAAATTAATAAGTACAAAAGTTTTTAATAAAAGAAAAATTATAAAACATTAGCCTAGTATAGAAATATTATAATAAAATAACTTAAAAAAATATATATTTCTTTATAAAATGGAGTTTAGTAAAATAGGTTTCAATAATATAGAGAATAAAGAATATAATAATTTATAAGCTGATCTAAACTTTAAAGTAAACTCAACTGCACCACATATAGATAATCTAACTATAGTTCAAAGATACAGATTAGATAAAATAAGTGAGATTCAAGTTAAAATGTGAGAGAAGTAGAAGGTCTATGTTGAGTAAAAAGTATTATAGAGCTGTAAGAATAATTTCAGTTGTTGATAATAAATTATTAGCAAGTACTATGGCTTTAGGAGCTGTTGGAGGTGGTTTTTTAGCAACTATTGTCGTAGCTCCAGTAGCTATTGCATGTAAGAGCGCTGCATTGAGTATGGGCTAGTGTCATTAATAGGTTCACAAGTGAGTAAAAATTTAAAATTAAAAGCAGAAAATCATGAAAAGATTAAAGTATTGGCTGATTTAAAATTAAATACAATAATAATAAGTAATTATATTTCAAAAGCTTTCATAGATGGTAGTATTGAAGATATAGAGTTAAAAATGATCATGACAGAGTTTGAAAAATTTCAAATCATAATTGAACAGATTAGAACAAAATCTAAAAATGATATAGATGAACAGACTAAAGAGTCATTAATAGATATAGGAAGAGAGCAATCTATAAAAGAGGATATGAAATTGTTAGAAAGTAGATTTAGTAAGAATCAAAATATTGAAATAGCGAATAATTTAAAATAGATCATGATCATGTTGATAGATAATCATATAATACGTTAAAAAAAATATTATGTATATAAAAATGTCGTTTTTAAATATTGTAGATCCGAAGAAAAGAAATGAAGCTTTTAAAGAACTTGAAAGATTAAAAAAAAGTATATATCAAAATTTAGTAAATGAAAAGCTTGGATATGGTGACTTACAGTATGACTTATGACTTGGGTAATTTATATAAACCCATTATCGATACAGTATGAAGTATGACTTGGGTAATTTATATAAACCCATTATCGATAGTCAATCTGGAATAAAAGAAAATTTATCTGATCATTTAGCTCTCACTCTTTCAAATTATCCTGCAATAATGGGTGTACTTGAAACTTAAGCAATAACTAGTAAAAATATTAAATCTGATATGAAACCTTCTGATAGTAAAATAATTGCATTAGGAACTGTAGCAACAGATTGTTTATCTAGGTATGCTGATAAAAAAGTAAAAACTGATAAAGTGTATAGAGTAAGTACTTTTAATAACAAAATTTATATTGGAAAAAAAGTAGCAAAAGTTGAAGGTAATGATATAAATACAGAAGGT